TCGACGTCCTTGACGCGTCCGTGTGGTTCGTTTCGTCATCCAGGGTCGTTCGGATGAGTTCACCGACAAACGAGTCAATTTAAGCTAAAATCGTGTGCAAAATGCGGCTTTATCGAGCATTCGGGTCGCAAAGGAGGTTCCCTAGGGGCTGCTCCTATTAATGTAGGAACTCGAGTCAAGTTTCATGTGCCGATCCTAATCAACTCAACGAAATGTCGAGGATTTGGGACCGCCCATGCGAAACTCGAAGGAGTGACGAGGTGGCACGAATTTTCTAAATGGTGTGGGTTCTGTACTAGTCCTCTAGGAGGGTCAAACAAGAGAAGCCTAAAGTTAGACCGTAGGCTCTAAGGAGAGAAGTGAATACCTCATCTGAAAATGAGGTCAACACTGCCTAGCTCATGCAGCGAGCTGTCTCTATATTTTGCACTCGCTCCAAACCCGATCTACTTTTGGCCATACAAGACATAATCAATCAACGCCCAATTTTTCTCAACAAGCAGCATTATACCAATTTGATACGATCCAACATCAAAATCGACACACTTTTCCACAGAAATTAAGGCAAACACAATATTTCTTCAATAATTCAAACAACATCATAAGTCGAGAGAAAGACAATCTCTACCAATTCTTACAATTCAAGTGGTAGGAAATGTCTCTCAACCCTAAATCTAAGACTCACAACTCAATTTCATGCATAAACCTAACCCTAAACATAATAAGTCTATTTTAAGTCTATTCTATTTATACCCAACAATAATAAAAAAAAAACTCCTTGTCCTCGAGGTGGAAAAAGATAGGTGTTCCTCCCGTCCATCACAGTTGTCTTTATGTCTTCATCTGCTACCTCCTCGTCATGTACTATTAGAACTTGTAATTTCTGATCCTTGCAATGGTGTCCTACCGAAAACATAACTCCTTGGTTCGCTTATCTAGAATCTGTCTCTGTAAAACGATTGAGTGTTGTTCCCGATCGTGGCTCATTATTCTTGCCTTGTGCAGTTTCCGTCTGAACTTCCATTGCTTGAGTTTTTGGTATCGTCATGGTTGTTGCACTTCATCTGTGTTTCTCATATTGGTCTTCTCCATTTAGTTCTTATCCTCCACCATCTGAGCTAGCTTTATCATCTCCTTAAATCCCCGCGGTCTTAATAATCAGAGTTCTGCACGTATATCGGTCTTTAAGATTTCATGAAATTCCCTTTCAATTCTAGTTTAAAATCCCCCAGAGTCGTCCAAACGATATTCCAAATCTCTATCAATATTCCATGCATGTCCCCTCTTTAGTTAAGGCATATAATTGCTCTTGTAAGTCTACTTCCCGAATGGCTCGAAAATGTTCTAACAAGCAATCCTTAAATTCATTACACAATAAATCGAGCATCTAGCCTCCCTCAACTGAAACCAGACCGGTGATATCCCCTCCAAACATAATACTGTTGTCATGAGCTTCTTCTCCCCATCTAACCCATTCACCGCGAAGTATCGCTCCACTCGATGCACCCACCTATGTGCGTCTTCACCATCAAAGATCGACATCTTTAACTTTGTAACCCATGAGAATCTCCACTGTTGTCATGAGCATCTTCATCCCACTCCCCCCTATATCGAGCGTAAAGCTACCTCCTTCAATCATAGTCACATCCACTCCTCGCTTCTCTCTTTTCTTCTTAGTGCTCTCCCATACCTTTTGCATAATCTCTTCTTCATGTTTCGACCCAACCGCATCCATCAAAAATCTCTACTTCACCCCCAATCGAACCCCTAAGAGGGCATTCATGATTAGGGCTGTCAAAAAAGCTCGTTGTTCGCGAACAGTTCGTGTTCGGTTCGTCAATGAGTTCGTGTTCGATTCGTTCGATAAGTAAACGAGACAAACGCGAACAAATTTTTTTCGTTCGGTTAGTTAAACGAACCAAACACGAACAGTGATGCGTTCGTTCGTGTTCGAATCGTTATTGTTTGAAATATAAAATAATATAAAATAATTATATATAAAAAATTTATTATATTTTAAAACATTAAATTTTATAAATTATAATATATAATAAAATAATAATAATAATATATTAATATACTATAGTAGTAATATACTAATATAGATATTGAATATTTATATAATATAAGTTATATAATTAATATATAATATTATTTTTATATATTAATATTAG